CATTCAAACTGATTGGTTCGGGCCCTGTGACGAACTGCACAGGGCCCTAGGCTAAATGGCCAGTAGGGCGTTGTTTTAACTATCTCAGGAATCTGGGTGTAACAGAGGAACTTAATAATACCTAATCTTTTACATTCAAGCTTTCCAGCTTAGAAACTTTATCCTTTCATTGGCCTCACAAATCATGGGGGAAACATGAGGGTGGGAATGGAGTTAGGACAGCTGATTGTCTACATAAAAAAATGAAAGAAAAGAAATAAGAAATTGGATTGGACCCCTACATTGCATAGAAGGCCATTGGACTCAGCTGTCTCACTAGGCCCCAACAGACCAGATCAAGCCAGAATGGAGTCACTTTTGCTGAATGCCTTGTAATCAAAATGAACTTTGAAAGGCGCCAGTTTTCCAACATCTAGGAGATTCACAGTAACCAGTTAGAAGGAGCCCGATGATGAGGAACTGTCCACTTTTTTAATTCTATAAAGAAAGTACCTTCAAATAACCAATATTTTGTTCACTATTTCTGCTTTCTTTAGCTCTTTCCTGCCTGAAAAACCAACCCCCTCTGCTGTTCAACTGATTAGGATATCTTTTATTTTTTTGGTACTTAGGGCTTGAATTCACAGAATCTCTACCACTGAGCCACATCCCCAGCCCACCCCCCACTTTTTTTTTTTTTTTTGGTACTTTTATATAAGACAGGGTCTCACCAAGTTGAGGCTGAGGCCTTGAACTTGTGATCCTCCTGCTTCAACCTCCCTAGTCTTTGGGATTACAGGCATAAGCCATTGTGCCCAGCTCAGAATATCCATTCTCTTTTGTAGAATGAGATGTTGCCTGATTTCAGTAAAAGCTAATTTATTTTTTAAACTAAACCTGTTATTATTTTTTCAACACACCATCCATGAAAGTAATCCTAAGGAATGTAGAGATCTAAATGTTAGAATAAACCTCCAAAACTCTTATAAAAATATAGAAGAATATTGGGCTGGGGCTGGGGCTCAGTGGCAGACCACTTGCCTAGCATGTGTGAGGTACTGGATTCCATCCTTAACACCATGTACAAAAATAAATAAAATAAAGGCATGCTGTCCATCTACAACTACAAATTTTTTTAAAAAAATATATAGAAGAATATTTGTTTTAACATGAGAGCAAGAGGAAAAAATATTTATTTCCTCTCCATGCCTAATCCAGGCCCCTACAGGCTCTGCTCAGTCATCAGGAATGCAGGAGGCTATCAGCTCTGACACAGGATGCCCTTTCACAAATAAAAGGGAATGCAATGAATGTGTGATTGGATCCTGGGATCTTATTACTTCTGCCAAGAGTGACGTCAYCACTTTTATAATATCTCATTGATCAAAGCAAGTCACACAGCCATCTTCAACTTGAAGAAGGGCTTCCCAGGCATCCGGAAAGAGAAGAGAGGAGGAAAATTTGTAATGAAACCTGTTGTTTGGGGAAGTATATCTTAAGACTAAAAAACAAAATAAAGAGAAACACAAATAAATTTGACATAGTAATAACAAGATGAATAACCAAAATTTGTTGGGTACTTACTGAGTTATTGGGCACTTATTCAAAGCATTTTACATATTTATTCATTTAATCTTCACAATAACCTCATGAGGTAAGCTCCACTCTTTCCCATTTATCCATCGAGGCTCTGAAGAATTATGTAACTAATTGTCAAAATAAACAAAAAGACATAAGAAGCAAGGACATAGAACCTAAACTATGGCAGGTCAGGTCAGGGGTGTTGAAGGGCTAGGAGGGGTTATGCTAAGTAAACGGGGAAAGCTGGGCTTCCAGATAAGATAGAGCTCATGGGTCTGCACTTCATTGGTTAAAAGAAATCCTATTGTTTTTAATTCAGGAAGGAGTGCCTAATTATCATTTGGCCTGCAGGGGTCATTAAAAGTTCATGATTCTTCATCAACTTTAGCAGGAAAAAACAGGTGTGATGAAAAAAATGTTGGGTTTTGATAAGTCCCAGGCGAATGCTTTCTGTAGGTCAAAACTTCTCTCTCCTCTTATACTGTGAGGAAAATAAGTCAAAATCAAACACATAAACTTCTGAACAACAAAAGACGCCAGAATCAAAAAGCAAGAAGGAGGCTGGGAAAGCATCTTTGTGAGATTTATAACATGTAAAGAATGTCTGCAAATCGATTTTTTAAAAATAGAAAAATTAGAATAATATATGAACAGACAATTTACCGATGAGAAAAATCAACCTTTTTTTTTTTTTAATGCCAATTGCTATTGAAACACAAATCGAGGCAACCATGACATATTACTTCAACTCTTCAACTTTAACACGGGCTACTCGATCTTATCAAGCTGTTGCAATTTAAGCAATGTCTTCTAGCTTTTGTCAAGTCGAAACTCTTGAGAATTGACAGACTTTCTGAAATATAGGGGTTTATTGAGGCTTTACAAATGCTAAACAGAAAAAAAAAAAAAAAAGACCAGTTCTGGGAAAAGTTCCTAAAACCATTGGCAATAGGCCTGGGCAGCAATTGGAAACAAGTCCACTGGACCTAGAGCTAAAAGTATCTTTGTATAAGCTCTGAGGAAGGAAAGTCTAAGTAGTTTACATTGACCTTCATTGGCTCTGGAATGGCAGGATAAGGCTTTGGGACAGGAGGATTATTCATAAGTAGAAGCACCTGCTTCTGGAGTAGTTGGGGTTAAACATCTGGAGGGTTTGTAAATCAACAGGGTTTGGTGGCCCTGGTGGTCAGCCATGAAGGGATTTAAGCTTTCAACATAAACAGTCTTTTTGGTTCTCTGCCAGCAGCTGTTAACTGATTACCTACTTTGTCTTATTTCTTCCCGTCTCTATTCTCTGGCCCTTGTGATTAATCTCAGAATTTTTCTTTTATCACTTTTAATCTGCATAAGGTTCTGTGTCTCTGTTCTCATGTTTTCCTTACATTGTTTATTTAATATCCAGGTGAGAAGGGTTTTTATTTTTTGCTACTAAGGAGTGAACATAGGATTTTTTGAGACAGGGTCTCACTAAATTGCTGAGGTTGGCCTACAACTATAAGTAATCCTTCTGCCTCAAGCTCCAGAGTTGCTGGGATAACAGGTGCTCACCACCATACCTGGCCAGTAAGAAAGGGTTGGATGCATCCTTTAAGTCTGCCACCTATGAAACATATAAATAGTATTGCAACATGAGCAATTATTTCCACATCAGTGAGATATTTTGTATGACTTTTGTTCAATTCAAGAATGGTGGCACATGTCTATAATTCCAGGGACTTGGGAGGCTGAGGAGGAGGATCATAAGTTCAATTCCAGCCTGGGTACATTAGGGAGACCCTGTATCAAAATAAAAAATAAAAAGGGCTGGGGATATGGCTTATTGGTAGAGCACCCCTGAGTTCAATCTGTAGTATCAAAAGAGAGAGAGAGAGAGAGAGAGAGAGAGAGAGAGAGAGAGAGAGTATAAAGGCACATTCTGTATTTCACACATTGTTGAAAGAGTGGGGTAAGACCAGTAAGACCAGGCATGGTGGTGCAGTTCTGTAATCGTATCAACTTGGGATGCTGAAGAGAAGAATCCCAAGTTCAAGGTCAGACTCAGCAATTTAGTGAGACCCTCAACAATTTAGCAAGACTGTCTCAAAATAAAAAGGGATGGGAATGTAGTGGTAAAGCACCCCTGGGTTCAATTTCCAGTACCACAAAAAAGAAAACTGAAAGGGTTGGAGAGTGGGGAAGGTTTTTATCAAGTAATAGATCATGAATTAAAACCTGAGAGTTTATCCAACTTTTTGTTCCCTGATCTGGTCCCTGATCATCTCAGTTACATGGACTTGTAAAGCCAGAATGAAAAAAAAACTCTTGAATACATTGGGGCTCATTCAGTAGGAGGGCTACAGCAAAGTGGAAAAAATCTTTTTGTAGGATTCTGATGTAATCACATTC